CCCGCGCCCCCCCCCCGCCAGCCGCTGCAGTCAGCTCCGCTGCCTCAGCTGACCCCGTCGGGCCCGCTGGCACGGGTCCCGCTCTCGGGGTTCCTTGCGGGCTTTCCCCGCCTCCTCCTCGGCCCTGTTTCCGGGGCCGCCTTTTATCTCAGCCAGGCGGCGTCTCCCGCTGGCGTCGCCCGGCCCCAGCTGGATATAAGCGCGGCTCACAAACCGTGCTGGCGGTCTCCCCGTGCGCGTGTCCCTACTCGCTCCGGCCTCTGTGTGGGGTAAGTAGGTGATTACTCCCCCCCTGGTCTGGCCCCGGGGTACCCTTCTAACCCCCACGTCCCTGGGACAATACCCTTTCCACACCCATCCGCTGTATGTTTTGTGCTACCCATGTAAGCCTAGCCACCCTTGAACAGCAAACCACCATTCTAACCCAACCGCCAGGGGAGGGCAGTTTTCCCCTCAAAATAGCCAACCAGGGCAACTTGTGGGTGATCACATGTATTGGTGGAACCAAAAAGCAAAGGTTAACAAAACTCCAATGTCCCCCTATAGGAAAATGGCTCCCGGCCCCCCAGTGGACTGAGGAGAGTTCAATGCAGCCTGTAGACTTAGAATCCTGTGCCCCACAGGGTATCCAAGGTGGAATTCGGTGCACGGTAGTCCGTCTCTGCCCTCTCACCTTCTGGGTCCAGAACCTTCAACCAATCAAAGAATGGGTCTATCTTACCAACCAGACCTACGCGTGTTGGGCCCTACCTCCCAATATCACGGCATACCTGTCAGGTTCCCAATTACACAACTGTTCCGGATGTGTGCCAGTAAATTCATCAACCTGGTGGGCCACACAACAGTCAGGAAAGGACTCCTGTGATGCCTCACACTACCATGCTCCAATAATCCTCAACTCTACTGAGGAATGGCTAAATTTCACAGCCCTCCGCAGATGGCAAAGCATTATGAGCAACTGGTATGAAGAGAGACCCCTGCTGTCTGGGAAATCAGTAGCCCAATTGTTAGAACATACTGACCAAACAGATAAAGAGCTCCTTAGGGTATATTGGCAAGGGGACACCATAATGCAAATAGGATCACAAATTGTTCAAGTGAGAGTGTGTGAAAGAGGCTGGTATGAGTGGTTCACTCTGGGAGGGATATTAAATTGGCTGGCGTAACCTGAAACCTGGGTTTTTCTTATAGCCATTATTATATGCATATATACAGGCTAATGGCATATGTTTAAGGGGTTGATATGTATAAGGGGTTGATTGTTTAAAAAGGTACAAAATTTTCAGGTGGCCTATGCACATCTAGCCACAGTTGAGGATGACCAACTCAACAAAAACGAAGTCAAAGTCATCGCCCTGTAGAAAATGCTAAGTCGGGGAGTGGAATGTGGGGGAATTCCCAGTGGGGTTTGGGGAATTTCCATGGGAATTTCCATAGCTCAGTCTTTCAGGTAAACGACTATGCATTTTCTCCTAAGCGATGATGTGCGCTTTCTGAGGCTTGTATCCATAAGGGACGGCATCTTCCAAATAAGGGCATGCTTCAAAACCTAAGATTGTGAGTGGCTCAGCCAACAGTATAAAGTCTCAGCGCGCCCAAACAGCGGTGGAGACATTCGAGATCGACACTGGGACCATCACCTTTGACTCGATCAGTCAGAGGCTGAGGTCACGACGAGGATCGCACTGGACCATGCCTCACTGGCCAGAGTCAGCTCACAAACTCGGGGATGCCTGACTTGTGCGAGGCTAACAAAGCCTAATTGGACAGAAAGCGTGTACGCTTGGCATCTGGCTCTGACCAATAAGTGCCATTGATATATGTTTATGTTTGTGGTGTTATTGTATGTTATAGTTACATTTTGTGTTTTATTGTTTTTTGTAACCATCCCTTTGTTGTTAAACACGGTTGTTTAAATAAATCTTCTCCATGATCTAACCCAGAAATCTCTAGAACCTTCTCTCAGATCTGGCCAACTATTATTGGGCTGTGACAACTGTCCTTATGACAGGCTTCCCTAACGGAGCGCTAGTCTGAGTGAGTAAGGGATATGCTATGGGAAGTAAATGTCCTTTTAAGGGCAGTTACCTCCAGCTCCAACCAGCTCTAGGGACAGATAAGAAACAGGCCAGGAAAGGCTGTCAGTTGGACTCAGGCCAGCATGCAAGAAGGAACTCCAGGGCTGCAGCTCGATATCCCTGGTGGGGCAATGTGACAGGCTAGGGAGACTAAGGGCCCTGGCAGATGTTCAATTAAATGGTACACGTGCATGGCAGGAGGCAGAATTGTGGGACTGGGGATCAGATCCCAATTGCACCATATTGCTGGTGCAGGGGGAGCCTGAAACACAAGTAGTGAACCAGGCAGCTGATTGGCACTCCCAGCCTCTGAGAAATATTGGAACCCTTGAGGCTGGGAGCCCCAATCAGCTGTTGCTCCCAGCCTTGGGATTGCATTGGAATCAAGGGCTCTGATGTGCCCCCAGGCCAAGAGTCCCAATCAGCTGAGCCTGACCACAGGTTCAAATGTAAGGTGCCATAGGAACCAGCCACAAAACTATTATGCACATTTTGCATTAACATGTGGCCCAGTTACTATTTAAGATACAATTAACTGATCAATCACATCTTAAGTGTAATACCTGCCAGGTGCCTAAGGAATCATGGGCTAGAGTGGTAGGCTAAGACAGTGGAGTCCAACAGACATAAGTCTGGGTAGCAGAAACCACATTGCCCAGGCCAAAAGGAGGTGCACGGTGGAAGAAGTAAGTACACAAGTGACCTTTGTAATTAGTGCTGTACTGCACTGGACCATGGCTGATGGGAGTATTGCTGCACAGTCAGCCAGCCTCAGTGGAGGATGCAAACCTTGCTCCAGAGTTTACAAGACTTATGGTAGGAGCGCTTTATCAACCCCTCACTCCCTGCTGCCTGGAACATTCCAAAAGGCTGCTGTTTTTCCCTGCAAACACTCCCACACACTACAGTGAGTCACATGTTCCTAGCCACTGTGTAGGAACAAGAGAGCTGGGGATAGAAAATGAGCAATCAACCACCTGATCTTGAGATACAAAGGTTTGGGAGAAATTTGGAAGGAAAATCCAATGGGAAACTCCCATCTTTATCTAATATCCCACAAAACAGTGTTTATATAGTCTAGCAGTGAGCACATACAAAAAAAGGATGGGAGAGACAGCTGGGTTATTATCTCCCTTTTCTGTCACAGAACAGGACCTCTCAGAATACATGATTTTAAAGAGATTTCTGGCATAAGGGGGAAGCCAACAGTGGAAAATGAATACACCTCTACTTTTCAAAGAAAGAAGTGCTTGATGCCTGCAATTTAAAAATCAATTTATTCCCAATTTTAATAGCAATAGGAGCCCTCTGACTGAAGAAGGGTTGCACTATGTACAACTCAAGCCAGAATTTGGCTCTTTGTATATCTTGCCACTGTAGGTATTTAGTTGCTTTTTAAATGAACTGGCCAATAATTTAATGGCTGGCCACTATTCACAAACCCAGGTTTGTTCAGAAGCCTGGATCATGAAAACAACTGACATCCAGGACATTAAATCCAGTTTCAGGACTTGATTCCCATGTCTATTTTTTGTGGCCAAGTTCTTATATGATCTTTTAATTTTATTATTTCTTAATAAAAACATGCAGTTGTGACTACAGCTCAGTTGAGCCCCCCCCCCCTCCCCCAAGACCCCCAAGACCAGTGCCAGTCCTCACAACACATCACTTTTGCTTAAACACACCACCCTCTTATGGCAACCTGCAGTGCACAACTATTCTAGAGATGTGCTTCAAAAGCCTGTATACCATTATCTGTCTGTTTCCTTGCCACTGTTCAACATTCCTAGGGCACGATCGTCTAAGGCAGGAATGTCAAACTCATCTGTCCGCACAAACTGCATCTAGCACATGCCAGCCCCAGGGCTCACTGCATATGGCACAAGCATGTGGTGTGCACTACCCACAGCATGCAGGCTAGATTCAGCCTTGCAGGCAGCACAGGGGGTTGGTCCAGGGAACTACAACAGCCCATGCCCCAGACCCCCTGTGCTGCATGCAGTGCCAGGTGCAGCCTACGCATCACGGGCAGTGCAAACCCTGGTCTGGCCCTGTGAGGCCTGGGGCCAGAGCAGGTTGCATGTGGTATGAGGGGCTGGAGTAGTGCACATTCTGGAATACCCCCTGTGCTGCATGCAGGGCACACAGTCAGCTCCACCCCACATGCTGCATGCAGAGTTCTGGGCTGAGACTGGTATGTGGTGTCAGTCAAGCGACCCATGAGCCAGATCCAACCCACAGACCATATGCTTGAAAACCCTACTTTAAGGAGGTGCTTTTTCTCACGTACATGACTACTCCTTTGAATCATGGAATCTTCCTCTGACCACTGCAGTGTCCTTCTGGTCTCTACAAATGGTTAGAGTTCCCCTCTGGCAGCTTCCCTTTTATCAGGTGAACTGTTGAAGAGTTTTTCCACACAATTAAATACCCTACCTGGGAATCTGTTTAGTTACCGGCCCTTTTTGCTATGTGCAAAATTAATCTCTAAGCAGGAGTGCTCTATTTGACTGGATGAAGTTTAATAACCCTCAATTGTTAACTGCTGTAGCAGTGCAGGAATGTCTCCTATCACCTGCTGTGGGTATTAGTTCAATATGGAAACAAAATATAGCAGAAAACGTAATGGAGTCCCACTGCCTTTCTGCCAGTTTGCAGTCTGACAGATGCCCAGTATCAAAACAGAATTCCAACAGATTCTCAATTGCCATGGTATCTGAAAGCAAGGAGTAGGCCTATTCCTTTGCATCTCTTGTCACAATAATTTTGAGAAAAATAACAATATTTTATACTCTAGTTGCAGTTACTTGTAAAGATTATCTTCATATTAAAGCTGAGCAGCAATATAATGGTAAGAAGGATGTTGTGAAACACAGCCTACTATTTACTTTGGAGAGGCTATTTACAGAAACCATTGGGGAACTACAAGGTATTACTGTATTTTCTCACATAAAATGTGTTTTTTCCGCAAACTAGCTAGGGGACATTGGGGTGTAATTTATATGCAAGAAATATGGATTCTCACATATTTGGCAGTGGGGGCACAATGGCAATTAACACAATTAACACTGCCACCACTCCATCACCAAATTTCCAGACCCTAGGGGAGTCCCCCAAGCAGATGACATGGCCCCACCCCAGATGGACCAGTATGTGGGGTCAGTCCGCAGTCAGAACTGACAAGAGGCCCCAGACCAAGCACATGGTCCATGGGTCCCATCCAGCATAGGGCTGGCAGCAGTCCCTACCTGCTCCTACTCAGCTACTTTTCTAGACTAAGATTTGTTTTCTTCTTGCTGCCTTTTCAAAACCTGGTCATGTTATATTCCAAGAGAATATGGTATGTACCACCTGTGGTACTTAGGTGACCAACTTTACAAGTAAATCTGAAGCTATACCACTCCGATTTTTAGTCAAAATGTACTGGCATACTCAAGACAAGAAGCTCAGTGCAGGCATGGGTGAGAATATTAAAGAACCTGAAGTTGAATGTCAAGTTCAAATGCCCAGAGGATAGTATTAGATATCCAAGGGATGAGATGGAAGAACTTCTCTTCTGTCCTAGTCATGGCTACAAAGAACTGATGAAAAAAACTCACATTTCCTGGACTGACTATTGACCGGGGAAGTTAGAAAACTATTCAGAGCAGCCAGCCAATTTTGTATACAGAATGATATGCTGAATGCAACACTAAACTGCTGGGATGAGACTACTGGAGAGATTTTGGTAGGTTGATCATCTGTCAAAGAGGTTCAATTCCTGAGATTAGTGGGCGAAGAGATGTGAATCTTGTATCTAGTAAGGGCTGTGTGTGTCAGTTTTCCACTCAATGGGTGCATCTACACGAGATGCTTCACATGCAGAAGACTAATTCTACTGCACATTAGCGTGGTAGGCAAAACCTGTGCTAACGTGCAGTAGATTTAGTTTAATGCACATTAACATGATTAAGAAAGTGTCCATATGCACTAATGCATAGTAGCAACAATTATGCCACACCAAATTAGTACTGTTATTACAGGTACTAAAATTAATGTACCATAATTTCAGCACATTAATGTGTAGACACGCCCAGTCTGTCTTAGCTACTTTGCCACCTCTTGCCTGAGAAATCTTGAAGATAGTAAACTGACCTGTAGATGAAATGGTTTATACTTCAGTGGTGATGCTGGCATGAGAAAAACTAGCTAATCCTATTCTGATTTTCCTATGCAAGTGTCTAGTAGCTTCCAAAGGTGTTCAAGGTCTCTCTCCATTTCAACAAGCATAGAAGTCTTTTAAAACACTTTCTTCATAAGAAGGAAAGGTAGGAGGGAGGGTTGAGGGGGATGACAGAGTCCCTGCTGGAGTTGTTAGATCTGGGGACGAGAAACATCTGAGGGCAAACAGAATGAAATAGTTGTGGATTAAATTTAGGGGAATAGCCGCCAAACAGAAGGAAAACCTGCTAGGGTGAGGGACGGCAGATATGGAGTCAATTCAGTGAAACATAAGAGAGAATGACTGACAATCACAGGAAAGGCAGTTAATGCTAACTACATCCTCTTCTAATTGTTTTGTGTGGTATTACTAGTTGCTTTAATGAGTCACTGCCATAGACCATAAGAAATGATTTCCAATGATTTTGATGGGAAAGTTTAAAAACAACAAATGTTTGAAATCAATTTATTTTCTCAAAGTTTTACAGAAAAAAATGTTGTAGCCACTATATAAAGTATTTTATATTAGAAAAAAGAGAGGCATTCAGAATGTATATTGCTCCAGCCCAATTAATTCATGGCACTCTGCCAAAAAAACAAAATATATGCAAGACCAACAACCTTAAGGGGAAAAGTAGATTAGTTTATTTTTTAAAGCAC